CAAAATCAGGAAGCAGGCCAGACCCTTGTCAAGCCTCCCTCGTCCTGATGTTTGGCTCAACAACCAGGAACGGTTCCCCCACAGCCCTTAGCCCTGCATTTCTGCAGCGAGAAGGTGCACATGACGAACCCCAGTAGCCCAAATCAGTCCACAGCAAGGATACCAGTGGCCAGACAGAACCAGGGGCAAGCAAAAAAATGAGTGTGTGGAAGCATTTGGTGCAGAAATGTCAGTAGGAAACAGGCAATTACAGGAGAGCAAACATTTCCAACACTGAGCTGCTCACAATCACGCAGGCAGGTGACCGTGGTCAGTCCAGGGCAGTAGAGAGTTAAAAGCTGAAGCAGCTTTTTCTCTGGAGAAAAGGAGGCTGGGAGGTTCTGGGGTCAGCGCTGTGACCCTGTCTCTAAGCTCAAGCGAGACTGTGTGTGTTTTTCTGGACTTGATTTTAGAAGCTGAATCCATCCCCTGCAGCTGAATCTACTCTTGCACGAACTCCTTTCTGTCCACCAGGCAGGGAGGAACAGACACCAGACAAGGAATCATGCCTCTTCTGGACCCACTGGAGGGCCAGTCTGAGGACCACAGACATGTTCGGGTCAGGAGAGAAGTGCCCCGGGGCCAGACCTCTGCCCTCTATCTCAGGACAATGCAGTCACAGCAATGAAGGTCAAGGACGGAAGGCTCCTATTAGGAGCCAGACTGTCTGCCACATGCCAGCCACACTTTCCATTCGTGGAGTCAGGGCACAGCCAAGCTCATGCTAGTCCCTTGCCTGGGAAGATGCATTCTTTTCCCTCCAACTAGCCGATGGAAACACACACCAATGTCTCGTCCTGCTGAACATCCGACCTGACCGTATTTAGTCTCCGAATGTCATCCTCACCCATCAGCAGCCTCCTTCTCATGCTGGCTCTGGCAAGGGAGAGAGAAGGTAGCCAAAGAGGATCCTGGGAGGCTGCAGCACACTTGAGTGACAGGGATAGCCCAGTCGGAGACAGGGCTAAGAAGGCTTCAGGCTAGCCTGCACAGCCGTTTCTTAACGGGTGCTGATTTTTCTCTCTAGCCACCTTTTCCTGTTCCCCGTCCTCCTCAGGAGCCTTGGAGCCTCCCGTAGGCCTGACCCAAGTCAAAAGTTCATTTGCCGTGGCCTGGGAAGGTGCTGCAGCTGGAGCTGCTGCGTATCTGGGAATTTGGTAGTTGCCAAAGTAGGTTTCCAGTAGTCTTGCCAATCTTGAAGGGGATGTCCTTACCCCTGAGGAATCTCTTATATTATGTGGTACTCACACACACAATGTGTCCCTGGGTCACATTGTGGAACAGCCCTTTGAGTTTAGACACATAATTCTCCCTTCGTTCATTCGGATGATGAACTTATTCAGGTAAAGAGGCAAAATTACCTGTATCTGCATAGTGTCTTCAGACATTAAGGTAGCAGAATGGACACTGGGACCCTTAAGCCATCTTCTCCCTTCCTTACCATTCGCCCCCGAGTCTGGATGGTGACAATGGGCGTTAGTGGGCATCCTCAGAAAGTGCAGGAGAGCTGGGGAACCATGCACAATGCCTCCATGGTACCTCCTGCTCTTTCTGTCTTGGGGAAGAAGAAAACGGAGTGTGCGGCGTTACCTTTGGATTTGTGTCTGTAAATCCTGGTACCCAGGGATTCTCAGAGAAGCTCTGCCCTTGGGTCCCGCCGGCATTCAAAAAGGCAGGCTTCCTGAAGGAACAGACACCAAGGCTCCTGACTCAGGCATTTGCAGGGATGAGGGCAGACACGTCCCCCAGAGCTCCCCTGAAATCTCAAGCACCAGGCCATGTGAATTCTGATCCTTTCCTAACACCCGGACTGGCTCGTTTGGGTGCTCAGGTGATGGGAAGGCCACCCTAATTAAAACCACGTGGTGGTGGGGGGGGGGTGACTGTTTAAACCTGCTGGCTCCTTTCTCCTTCTTCCCACCTCCTTTCTCTCCTTACACACACACAGGCAAGGCTCCCTCCCTCTATTTAAGCAAACAACTCTCTCCATGATTAAGTACAGCCCCTTCTTATCTAAATACTGCACAGATGTATGAAGACATGGGAGCCTTCTGCTCCTCCAGAGGGCTGGCCTTGATACCTATCTTCTCCAAGGCTGCACAAAGCAGCCTTCCTTGGCCTTTGCTGACAGAAATTCTAATGCCTGCACCCTAGTAAATCAGCCCTGCTTGGCAGGCTGGCCCCCATTTGTCAGAGATAGGATTTTCCCCCCGAAGACTTCAGTCGCTCTTCCCGTCTTGGCTTCCCCCACAAGAGTTTGAAACTGCCCAGATGTGAACAAATGGAACACGAAAAGTCCCACCTCTGCTGGCAACTTCCTGTATTACTTCAGCTGTCCAGATAACACCTTCGGTCTGTTAGCTCCAACAACCACGGTAGTGGGAACTAGCACTGTCAAGGGAATGCTGATAGACGGCCGCCCCAAAAAGGCAACAAAAGAAGGGGCCTTTGAGTGTCCCAGGAAGTAGAGCAAAGAGTCTGTTTAAGGCTAGGAGTGTAGCTCCAAAGTGGCCGGCTTGCCTCCTGTACGCAAGGCCTTAGGGCTGGCTCCCAGCACTGTAAACAATTAAAAAAAAAAAGTAGTGAATGATTGGAGATTAACCTCAGCTAACCTGGGTTTATAACCAGCCATCACTCCAGTTGGTTTTGCTCTCAATTCCAAGTATGGCTCCTATCTTGAGTCCTGAGGAGATGGCGCCTTATGAGGATTTCCAAGAAGGATTGTCCTAATAGGTACAAGGACACTGTGGAGACCCTGAGAGTGTCCCTGCCCAAAGAGTGCTTGGCAGACCCAGCTCCCACTGTCCCCAGAGGGTGTAAGGTACTTAGGTGGTGATTCATGCCTTAAATCCCAGGACTCAGGAGGCAAGGGCAGGTGGCTCTCTGTGAGTTCGAGGCCAACCTGGTCTGCAGAGTGAGTTCCAGAACAGCCAGAGCTGTTACACAGAGTAACCCTGTCTTGAAACAGAGAGAAATGCTTCATCTTGGATCCACAGAATTAGAATCTGCACTTGTCCTGTGTGGCTGTGCTTATTAAATCTTGGAAGTACTCTTTGAAGATCGGATGTTCCCCCACGATAAAGGAAAAAGTGAACTCATCCCCTCCCTCTGAACCACTTTTAGTAGCTAATATGAAAGTGACCCACAATACTTCAGGAGGTCTTGCAGCAATGTGTGTGGAAAAGAAAAAGTCCCAAATAAACACTTGCTCCTCATTCCCGAGCCACGTTTGTACTGTTAGAATGTTTTTGCCAAGACGCAACGGACCCGAGTCTTGAAATGGCCGGTATGCCACTTACAAGTTCTAAATCTCGTGTCGTCTCGATCGTCAACTTAATTCAACTGTCATACGCCCAGGAGAAATAGCTAGGTCATGAAGACTCTGACCCAATGACTAGTTCAATCCACTGATGAATGAAAATTCTGAATGAACCGGTGGGAGGGGAACTGCAGGTGGGCTCTAGTGGGAGGAAGTAGGTCACTGAGGAAGTGTCCTTGGGGCCACCTCTTGCCCTGGCTCCTTCTTGTTAAGACCTTAAACCCTTCTGTGTTTCCTGTATGTTGTGAGCACCTGTTTCAGTGAGCAGGAGGCAAACTAACATATGAGACCCAATTATTACCCTTCATAATCAAGATTTCTGGGGGTGGAAGCCAGGAACTGGGTGTGGGCATACCATTCCCCGTGACCACCACACATGCTAACAGTGAGACATGCTCCCCTTCTCTCCTGCGATTCATCAGGTGACTGGCCCCACTTTTTCTTCCTCAGAAGCCCATGTGGATTTGCTGGCATGTCTGGATCCCATGTGGGAAGATGGCGAAGCCAACCCAACTCGGACCCATCTCTTGCTGCCCTTTGGTGGAGAGGTCCAGTTCCTTGAAGTTCCTTGAAGAGAGGTGTGTGCTATGCAGACTGAAGCCAAACAAGCCTGTAGTTCTTAGATCACCTAACGTGTCTAAGCAAGCCCATACACTCACAGCCCCCGGGGGGTCCGGGATTCCCCAGCACCCCCAGAAACTGTAGTGTACTTCTGCACACCTGTCATCATCTTGCTGCTAATTGATTAGAAAGAGGGCAATTTGAAACAGCCTGAGACGTTATGGGTCATGGCAGTATGGCTTCTGTAGGGGTGGTGCCAAGCCTAAAGGAAATTCTCTCCTTAAACCACAGGAGAACCAGGAGGACGTGCCAATATCCTACTCAGCCGTGATCACACTTCAATACTTCACGAGAGTAGATGAGTATGTGAAAATCCTCACTTCTCGCCTAAGAGATGGTGATGGGTGAAGTCTTGATGCACATTTGGAGATAAACTGCTAGTGATTCTAGTGTGGAGGCGCTTTTTAATCAGGGCGTACCATCCAATGGAGCTATCGCTACGGCGGAAGAATTCCGTAGGCAAGAAGCCCAACCCCAAAATAAACAACCAGGGATCAGCAAAGTGTGTCACTCTGGGTACAAAAGCAGGCCCAGCAGATAATTCAGCCTACAAAGCTGGGACTCAGGGACTGTGGGTTCTCATTCCAGCCATGCCAGTGACCCAGAGTCTTCTGGGAAGTCCCAACCATGTCGCATCTTAGATCCTTCATCTGCAAAAATCCCAAATGGGACCACGGCACCAGATACAAACCATCCCTTAAGTTCTAGCTGGGAATTTGACCGTGAACACTAAAACAGGCCGGTGGGGAAAGGGCATCTGGAACCCGGAGCAGGAATTCTGGCAGAGCTGAAAGCCACACAGCCAGACAGACAACAGGCTGTTATACAGAGACGGTGAGTGGAGAAGGAGGCAGGGACTAGTCACGGTCCTCCCCAGGTCTCATCCACCCTACCACGCCCAGCTCCCACTTAAAGGTGATGATGTTCTAGGACCAGAAAACACCACCGAAATAACTCAATCTGCAGAACTGGAGTGTGGATTCCGGATGATGGGGAGTCGGGTAAATCACAATTCACGTTGTTATTGATTGAGTGATTTTAGTCAAGTGAATACATGGTGGGAAAAGCATGAAAACAAAACACATATGGGAATTACTATTAACATACGTGATAACATCAAAACATCTGGTCAAAGGCAGTTCAAAAACAACACAAATGAAATGGAATGTAAAACATCTTCACAGTATATTCAAAGCTTTTTAGGAAAGTTTTAAACTCTAAAGGTGGAGTCCTCATGCAGGGTCTAGGGCCAACAGGAAGTCCGTCTATGTGCTCAGGACCTGCCAGGCCAGGTCGGAGCCCTCAGCATGCCATCATGGAGATGTGGCCTCAGGTCTGCTTCTGAAACTCATCTTGAGACACGCCAGCCATGAAGGTCCAACAGACCACAGTGACGCGGAGTCTAACAAGGAAAACAGGTTCTAGCTTTGGGGAAGGAGACTTCTGTAATTTACACATTCATGTGAAGCCTGGGGCTGCACTTTGGACTCTGCCCCCCAAGGGAGAACGTAGAGCTCACCCACCACCGACCATGAGAGCTGAGTGTTAACGCAGAATGTTTTCAAAGTCAAACATTCTTACAATTCTTGCCTCCAAGTCTATCTTCTACCATAACTACTGATAGTTTCCAATGGTTCTGTGGGTCAGGCCTCCTCCTATTCTCCAGAATGGTTACTTTTAAAGCTTTCCAAATCTGACCCTTTCACTGGCAACAATGGTTGGGACACACGTGGACCTCCTCTATTGGAAGCCAGTGACGAGGCCAGTGAGTCTGCACACTGGTTCGTTGGACCTTTTGTCGAAAAGAACAAAGGTCGGTGATCATGCAGCTTTGGGTCCATAGATAGCCTCCCTTGTTGTCCTGAACTGCTGATGTCGTGCAGACAAAACTGGTCTGTGTGTGTCTAAAATCCTCACAGGTCCACAATGAAACTCTAAAGCCAGGGATTCTGAAGTGGGGGGGTAGGGGGAGGGGGACAGCCACTGCAGTTCACATGATCAGTTGATGGTGAATGCTTTCTGAGAGCGGTGCCTCCTACCTGAGGATTTCTAATCCAGAACAGCCCAGCATGGCCCCTGGCTTGCTTTCTGTGAAAATGCTAACACATCCCCCAGATAAATTCATGTCCAAGTCCTCTGCCACTTGGAGAGGACCCTGCTGCACAACACACTTGGTCAAAATGAGACCTTCAGTGAGCCCTGACCTACAGACTCGAGGTCTGGCTCATGAAATACGTTTGCATTTCAGTTGGACAATGAGAAAGTAGACTATTTCTAATTACTAATATGCATAGGCATTTTTAAATCATCAAAATTATAGGCAAATCATTTACGGTCCCTAAATATCTTTATGATTAAGGTCGAAAGAATTCTTTTTAAGTGTTAAGGTAACGGGATTACGAAAAAGGAGGTCAACTGGGTTAGTATCCCACTCAGATTGGTAACTGCGTTGACTTGCTGGTTTGGGCGGGGCTAAAGTCTTTCAGAAATTACCAGAATTTGCCTCTGTTTCTGTGTCAGTCCAAGGCCACTGGATGACTTGACTCCTCACAATGATTGCTGCTTCTGGGCTGATGGACCAAAGGGACGGTCACTGCGGTCCTCGAGAGGTGGTGGGGGCTGAGTAAGCAGACTTTGGTGGAAGAAATTAACGTTCATGTTTTGTTGTGTTTTTCCTTTAGAACTACTCGGACAAGAGGAGCAAGGCTGCCTACGAGAACGGGCTTATTTACATCACTTCTTAAGCACACAAACTTTGAGGAATACCTTTGGGCACTTGGGGGAACTGCCAATGGCTAGCTTTTGAAACCATCTCCTTGGATAGGCCACTTACCCTCAAAAAACACGAGTGGGGGGCACACAAAAGTGAAAGTGGAGGCGTCAGGCAGGCAGCGATTTCGAATTCCTTTTAACTATACGCAATCATGTTTAAAGAAACGGATCCCCTTGGAGGAAAGCAGTGTGGGGAGCGCTGTAGACACTGTGGTTGCACTACCTTGATGCCAGGCCCGCCTCCACAGCACATGCGCAGACAGAGCCACCCTCCATCGCACATGCGCAGACAGCGTTCTCGAGAAGAGGGCAGCCTCGGGTGGTCTCGGTTATCTTTCAAATGCTCAGCATGGATTTCTAGCCAAGCCTTGAAGGGTGCCTGGGTTTTTGTCACTATTTATGTTGCTGGTGTTCTTTTTAAATGTGACAGATGAGACCGCAATGTGAGGTTCCCCATTCGCCCTGACCAGTGTGTGACCTGCTGATGCTCTGCATTTGTTTGTTTGTTGTTTTTTTTTTTTTTTCCTTTCACTGTATCTCTGAAAACCAGTAACCACTGGCTTCTCAGCCTGAAATGCCTCACGTCTCTACACGGCCCACCACCTTCCCCCTCATTACAAAAGCAGTCCTCTGCCACCCTTGTGTCCCAAGGGACTGATAGAAATGGCCATCGGAGACCAACAGTCTCCTAGCAAATGTGGCTGGTGCAAAAGCTGAGGGTAAAACATCCAGCCCCTTATCTATCCCATTCTGTACTGGGATACCCTGGCTACTTTCAGAACGTGTGTGTGTGTGTGTGTGTGTGTGTGTGTGTGTATACTGGTGCTCTTGTTTCTAGGTAACGCAGAAAAGGGGAGATTACTACCAAAATGAAAGCAACCTGGCTTGCCAATGGTCAAAAATTTCTACCTGCAAAGGCTTACGTTACCCAAAGCACCTCACAAGCAATTCCTAATGATGTCCAGAATAACGTATGGCCTGAGCCGGCCGCTCTCACACACTTCTTTCCCATCCTTTTTTTTTTTTTCTTTTTCCATTCTGGCAAACATTTTGGGGTGTGTGTGTGTGTGTGTGTGTGTATGTGTGTGTGTGTGTGTGTGCCTGAGACACAGTGAAAGGATTCTGCCCCTTCTTTTGCACAGTCACTGCTGGCCCTGCTGCAGCCCTTGACAAGCCTTCCTAATCTAAAGAGCCCTGGACGTAGCTGGACGTGGCTATGTAAAGGGAGGGAGTGGGGTCGCTGTGGGGACAGAGGCAGCTGCGCGATGCAAAAAAGCCACAGCTGGACCGGGCAAGAGCAATATGTGCGCCCCAAGAGCCAGGGCCACCCACTCGCCCCCACCCTCACCCCGGGCGACACTCCCTCCCTCCCCCGCGTCCACCCCGGCGGCGGCGGCGTCACTTAAAGACAGACTGGAAGGTGGGGCACTCGTGGTTCTTCATCTTCTTCATGAAGTTTTTGAACTCCTTGTTTTTCTTGTCCCACTTGTGAATGGCCGTCAGCAGGTACTGGCTCTTCACCTTGCGGCCCATGATGAGGAAGTTGTGGCTGAGGTTGTCCAGCTGGTGACAGGGGCAGTCGGCACCGTTCTTCAGGAACAACACGAGCCGCTTCAGCTCCTTCTTCTTGATGGGCCCCAGTTTCAGGGGCTTCTTCTTCTTGGGGACAATCTTCTTGTCCCCGTTCTCCTTCTTCACTTCTTTGATTTTCATCCTCAGTGCTAGGATGGGGGGGCGGGGAGAGAGAAGGGGAGGGCGAGAAAAAAAAAGCATTTAGAGCAAAGCTTTTCGTTTGAAACAACACCCTGCCCGGTCCTACACAAAGGGGAAACCAGTGACAGACTCTCATTGTGCTACTGAGCTGCAAACGCACCCACCCCCCTATTTTAGGTTTCATCAAATTGAGAGAAACAATTCAGAACTGGAAAGATAAATATTGTCGTGTTTTTCTCCCGTGTGCAGAATAAAGCGGTGTGTGTGTGTGTGTGTGTGTGTGTGTGTGTGTATGCACACGCACACACGTGATGAAAGTAGCTTGAAGTCAGGGGAAAGTGAAAATTAGCAGGGGAAGGGGGTAATAAGAGAGAATATGGGAAGGGATATGAGTAAAGGACAATGATAGACACACATGAAAATGTCATAATGAAGTCAATTAATTCTTTTGTATGTCAAAAACAATATAAAAAGAGAAGTGGTCACATAATTCAACATAATTTACATAATCTAATGTTATTGTACCAAACGTTTAAAAAAAATTAGGATAAAAATTATCCTATTTTTTTTTTGTTTGTTTGTTTGTTTGTTTTTTTCGAGACAGGGTTTCTCTGTGTAGCTTTGCGCCTTTCCTGGAGCTCAGGCTGGCCTTGAACTCGCAGAGATCCACCTGGCTCTGCCTCCCGAGTGCTGGGATTAAAGGCATGCGCCACCAACGCCCAGCCCTCCTAATTTTTTTTTAAAAGACAGTTAGTGGTTTTGTTTTTATGACACCCACAACGAGGCAGACAGAATCTGTGTGCATATTTAGCAAGGGAAATTCAGAGAGCCCTTCAAACTGTACGCCAGGGTGTGCTCAACATCGCCGTCCAACTTGAGCACAGGTGAAGTCAGAACTCCGCTAGCTGTGTGTTCAGGAAAGTCTGATGTCACGTACTGCCCGCTGATCAAGAGGCCACGGACGGGTGGGTACCTCTTAGGTCTTGTCAACAGAAAAGATCCATACAGAGTTAAACTCCACCTTGACTTCCTAACAGCTCAGAGACAGGTTAGTGGGCACATCCAAGTGAGGACGCACATCTCTGGTGGAAGAGCCTCTGGTGTTCTCAGAACCAGGAGAAAGAAAAACAACCCACCCATCCGCTCTCCTCCCTCCTCTCTGCTTTGTATCCTTGGATTCCATGTTACATTTGTTTTTCTCTCTCGGTCTGGGGTATGGAACACAGCCCCCACCGTAGTAGATAGGCAAGCACTCTCCTACTGGACTACATGCCAGCCCCGCGTGTTACTTTGAACCTATGCGCAGATCCTTCAACGGTGGCCATTAGAGACATTCCTTAAACACACATGGCTGTGCGCCTTTAGAACTAGCCAATACCAGATATTAGAGACTGGAAATCCTCCCCAAGATATCAGTCCCCAGATAATCTGTGCATCCTCTGAATTCTTCCGAGTTAAAGGTTACCAATCCCCCACTGCTTTTACATAGCTCAAGACTTCCACTGCGTTCCAGGAAGAAGGCCTTGTTTCCGAAGCACGCTCGGCAGCTACTGATTCTCCAAGTGTGAGGTCAGCCTGGAAATGCACTAAGCGTTTTTGCTTTCATTCCTGTAATGGATGGATCCTAGTAACTCCACGAAGAAAGGACAATTATTTTCCCCCATCTAAGAGATAAGAAAACTGACATTTGGCCAGTCAACTGGCTTGCTCATTTGTCAGTTTTAAATTCCAGCCCCTCTGTGTTAATTAACCGTCCATTATTTCAACAAATACCTGAGCTAAATCAACAGATAAGGAGGAAAGGTCCATTTTGGTTGAGCTCCAGTTTTCAATCCATCACTACTGTCCCCACGGGCGTGTGGCAAAAGCAGCCAGAGCTCACAGCAGGAAAAAGCTGCTAGCCACATGGCGGGAGGAAGGAAAAAGAAAGAAAAGAACGGTGGCGGGGGGGTCCCCTCAAGACATGCCCAAAATAACTCATTTCCACTAGGTCCCACCTTCTGAGAATGTTGCACCAGCTCCCGGCGTGCCACGGGGGGCTGGGGCCTGAGCCTGCAGCGCACGGGCCTGGAGGGCAAAGGGGCTATATCCAAACCACAGCGACATGACTTCCAATCGCCGGGCTGCGTCTGCTGCCTCTGTGGTTTCAAAATTCTGTATAATGAACCCAGAACATAGAGAGTGCTCATTAGCTGGATCAAGAAAATAAAGGGCTCAGATGGGCTCCGGATTCCACTTCCATTTTAAAATGGCTTTTCCCGTGAAACGGCCCAAGAGTCTCTCCCTCTGGCTGAAGAGAGGCCGTGCTAGTAGGAAAATTCACCACAGAAGGTTCTGCTGCTTACAAGGCCAAACCTTGGCTCCCTTGGTAAAGAGGAAGGGCAAAGAGAAGAGTCTTGAGGGTAAATCTTCAACGTGTGTCTAAGTCTGTGAACTCAAAATACTGCCCTACTGCTCTCTCTTTCTGAAGAAAAGACATCTAGATCTTGAGACCTGCTTAACTCAAGTCCTGCCTAATAGCCCAGGCCTGAGAAATGCTTCACGCCAAGGTTGGCAGAAAGGTCACAAGTGGACCCTTGTGAGCAGACATCCCTCGCTGTGGATCACCTATCTTTTCTGGAGTTCCCAGCACTCAGAATAGCAAGGGGAGCCATGGCCCCCCAGGGAATTCGAAGTATCAACACTCCCACCCCGGTGGGTCACTGCCCACTGCTTCTGATGTGCTTGAACCTCACCCTCGTGGTGAGCACAGCAATTGGAAAGCAGCAGGTGGGTGTGCAATGAATAGACAGTGGAGACTACCTCTCCAAGGCCTCACCCCAGACAGGCCCAAACGGGCCCACGCTTACCTCAACTCCCACTGTTGGCTCAGGGACCTTGAACCTGGGAGTTCACTTAGAAAAAAAATGAGAGAGATTTCACTGGTTCCAATGTCAAACTTGATGGATGAGAGAAGTTCTCAATAGGGTTGAGTGAGGGGACCAGCCAGAACCGACTCACCACCTGGTCCAAAGCCAAGTCAACCTCATCCCTGCTCCCCTCTGCCAAACAGAGCCAAGGGCAATGGGAAACAAACATTTCCTATTGTTTTCCTCTTGGTGTCCTTTCAAGACCTGTGAGTTCAAAGCTCAGTCCTTAGTGGCACTATTAGAAAGCAGTGGAATGTTCACAAGGCAGTGAGGGGTCTTTAGGTCCCTGGTGTGTGTCTTTTGAGAGTGATGTCAGGACCCCTCCCTCCCTATACCTTCCTCCAGTCTCCGGGGCTTTCTGGCCATGAAGTGAGTGGCTTTAGTCCAAGATGTGTTCTAGCCATGGTGTGCTGCCTCACATAATGCAACAGGCCAACTGATCATGCACTAGCCTCCGAAACTGTTAGGCAAAGGAACCCTTTCCTGTGTAAGCTGGTTGTATGAGGTATTCGCTGTAGTAACACAAGCTGACCCACTACTTATTAAAGAAAGGCTGCAAGGCAGTAAGACAACGCCGGTCCTTTCACAAGGTAGCTAATGCCCAAGTCCAATGTGCAGAACAGAACCATGCCTTAGAAGTGGTCAGGTACCACTTGCATTACCAAGAGAGAGTAATGCACGTACCAGCAGACCACAGGGGACCTTCTTTACTGCAGTGAAGCATGCCATCATTTGCTGAGTACCCGCCATGGGCTGTGCTTGCAAGATAAAACACAAGCCAGGTGTGCCGTCTACTACAGTGGTTCTCACCCTGTGGGTCGTGACCTCCCCCCCCCCAGGGGTTGCATATCACACGTTTATATTACAGTTCATAACAGTAGCAAAATTGCAGTTATGAAGTGGCAAGGAAATAATTCCGTGGTTGGGCGTCACCACATCACGAGGAACTGTATTTTTTTTTTTTGGTTTTTTTTATTATTATTATTATTATTATTATTTTACAACACCATTCAGTTCAACATAATAGCCACAGAATCCCCTGTTCTCCCCCTCTCGCCCACCCCTCCCCCCAGCCCACCCCCCATTCCCACCTCCTCCAGATCAAGGTCTCCCCCGAGGACCGGGGTTGACCTGGTAGACTCAGTCCAGGCAGGTCCATTCCCCCCTCCCAGACCGAGCCAAGTGTCCCTGCATAAGTCCCAGGATTCAAACAGCCAACTCATGCAACGAGCCCAGGACCTGGCACCAATGCACAGCTGCCTCCCAAACAGATCAAGCCAACTGACTGTCTCACCCGTTCAGGTGGCCTGATCCAGTTGGGGGCCCCTCAGCCTTTGGTTCATAGATCCTGTGCTTCCATTCATTTGGTTATTTGTCCCGGTGCTTTATCCAACCTTGGCTTCAACAATTCTCGCTCATATAAATCCTCTTCTTACTCACTAATTAGACTCCCAGTGCTCCACCAGGGGCCCAGCCGTGGATGTCTGCCTTCAGATTCCTCAGTCCTTGGATGGGGTTTATGGCACCACTATTTGGGTGTCTGGCCATCCCATCACCAGAGTAGGTCAGTTCCTGCCGTCTCGCGACCATTGCCAGCAGTCTTTTGAGGGGGTATCTTTGTGGATCTCCGTGGGCCTCCCTAGCTCTCTGCTTCCTCCCCTTCTCACCTTCTCATGTGGTCTTCATTTACCATGGTCTCCTATTCCTTGTTCTCCCTCTCTTTTCTTGATCCAGCTAGGATCTCCCACTCTTTCCCTTGACTGTCGCCCTTCATTGTTCCCACTCATGACCAGGCTATTCATGTAGATCTTGTCCATTTCTCCGTGTCTTTTTTTGGGGTCCCGTTTTCCAGGTAGCCTCACTGGTGATGTGAGTAGCAGTCTAGTCATCCTTGTTCCACATCTAGCATCTTCCTATGAGTGAGTACATACCATATTTGTCTTTCTGAGTCTGGGTTACCTCACTCAGGATGATTTTTTCTAGATCCATCCATTTGCCTGCAAACCGTGTGATGTCGTTGTTTTTCTCTGCTGAGTAGTATTCCATTGTGTATATGTGCCACAATTTATTTATCCATTCTTCAGTTGAAGGGCATCTAG